TCAGTTTTTTTTGAAAACGGCTTGTTCTTGTCACAGGACAGGTTGACCTGCAAAAGTGTCCCCAGCAAAAATGAGATGTCATAGGCCACGATGAAGACCACTTAGTGCCACTGCATCATGACTGGACTCCTGGGAGTTAGTCAGTAGGTCTCTGGAGTATATGTGTGTGAGAATCAGGGGCTTAGCGTGCAAAGGGTGACGTAAATGGATGCAACACTGGATTCGTAGTATCCTCTCAGGTGCTCATTTCTTTATCATGTCATTACTTAGGTATTAGTGAGGCTAATTGATCATACTGAGAGAATTTTCTGATAAAGGCTTTTGAGCAGCTTAACACATCTCATGATTGAAAAGATGAAAGCTGAAGATGGAGCATCAATCTGGAAATTAGATAATTAATTTTTTTTATAACCGTGAAGATCATTACCCACTGAAAAAAAACCTATGTTTATAATGGTGGACTCCCTTCCCCTCATTTAAAACCCTCTTTTTTTTTAAAGTTGCTGTAGTATATTGGCTAGAGCATGAGCTTGGTGCTGAGAGTACAGTTAGAGACTACAGAGTTTGTATTAATATTCAGCTATGCTGAGAGTACAGTTAGAGACTACAGAGTTTGTATTAATATTCAGCTATTTATTAATTAGGTCATTTCATTCCTTTGACGGATGTAGCAGTAGTTTGGCTCTAGTGCAGGCTGGTACCACTTTTCTGTAGAAAGTGGTAAGTAGCAGCATGAGGAGTTTGAAAGCCCGCTTGGAATTTAGACACATGCTTTTTATTAATTTCCACTGACAGTTGTATAGCCAAATCCTGCAGTAGCCTTTGAAAATTTTAGCCGAAGTATTTGGTTTTGTCATTGTTGAAGTTCCAGCTGGGCACTGTGAAGATATGAGTCATTCAGTAGCAATGCTTGACAGTTGCACGGTACTATGGCCTCAGGCCATCAGTTTATGCTGTGTGATGTCTATGAGGGTAAAGAGACCCTAAAGTTGAAGGATAGTTTGTTACTGCTAATGCCTGACATGATATCTGGAGAGGCTCCGGTGGCATAAAAATGTTGTGTCCGCCTGCCCCACTCCACTTGCCTCTGTTGTGCCCATTTGTGCATGGGGTGGATAGGAGTGACTGCGTATTCTAATTCAGAGCTGCCTATTCCCTGGATGAAGTTTCATCAGTTTGAACATGGAAATGGATTTTCTCTATGCCATGAAATAACATACCCTTTATGCACCTATACACAACGAAACACGTTGGTTTTAGTGTATGCTTGTTATGTATCTACTATATCATATAACTCTCTGCATTACAAATTCTTAGTAGCAAATGCTATGCTCCCTTTTTTGAGAAGAGATTGAAAAACTTTGGATAAATTTTTAAGAGAAAAGAGTCAAGAGAAGAATAAATAACCCAGAATGGCCTTAAGAAGGCCATTAAGAAGTCTTAAGAAGTCTTTTCCTGTCCGCAGGGAACAGCACTCAATGGATTTGAATTTTAAAGATAAATTTCAGAGCTGATAAAAGGAAATACTCTTGCACACAGGCTGGACGAGATGTGTGTGAAACTCACTTCTCCAGATAGTTGCTGAGGCCAAGAACATAGCAAACTTAAAAAATAATTTGGATACTAATGGATATTACTAATATCCAGAATTATAATAATACATGCTATCAAAGTTTGAAAAAGATATTACATTTCATACTTTGGGGCATAGGCTAATCTCTGTCTGACAGATATCAGGATGAGACCTGTGGCAAGATGATGTCATGTCTGCCTTGCGTGGGTTTCTTATGCTACAGTCTAAACTTACCATGCTGGCAGCATACAAAACTATGTGAACCTGTTGTCTAATTGCTTGGATCAAGTACTATGTACAAAATCCTATAAAACGTGCGTCTCTATCCATAGACGAGGTAGTTATCTCCAACATCATTTTTTAAACAAATTAAGTCAGGAATAAATGCAGCAGGGTTAGAAATCTTTGTAACTGTAGGTATCAAAATGGTAGGGACTTTTGCAAATGGTCTCATACTACGCTGGACATGTGTACTGAGCGTATGTTTCTGTTAGGGCACATTGAGGTTTTTTTATATGCAATTATTTGTGAGTTGTGACTGCGAGTTTTGCTGCTTGGCCTCACTGCCTTATTCGTAAGTGCCCTGTATCACCTCCTTTAAATACAAGGTCTTATGCTGACATCCTCCTCTTCTGAGCAGAGCTGCCCCTCGACACCAGTGTGTGTTCTGCAGTGGAGCGGTTTGGGTACCACTTGAAGCAAAAGCCAAAATGGCCTCACATTAAAGTTCACTAGCTCAAAATAGCTAACCAGAAAAAATGAATCCCAAAGCAATTTTTGGTGTATTTTCTAACTACCTCTTATGACTGCAAAAGGGAATGAAACAAAATACACGTTTGGTAGTAATGTGACAATTATGTTACTACTTTTTACTGGAAGAATTTCTGTAAGAGCTTGCCACTGGTTTCTAGGGTAATTCTAGGACCCTGTAGAATAATAAGCACCATTATTTTATAACCTTCTAGCAGGTTACAAGCAAAATGTAACTGTTGCCCTCAGAGAGATAACACCAACATGGCATGTGCAGGCTTTTGCGAATAAACAGAACTGCAGCTGGTTCTGGATGGGAAGCGGTACTGGCGAAATTCACCACTTTCAATTGTCCATCCTGTAAACAGGCATACTGCAGAAAGAAGTTTTCTCAGAACTCAATGGCTATTAAAGGAAGACTTCCTGGCAGCAAAGTTGTTTTTACTTTTGCTTACCTGAGAGGCTTCATGTGAAATGATAGGTTAGCAGGAACTGTGCGAACTTGTACAGCGAAACACTAATCTGTCATGCAGACCTTGTCCCAAGTGAGTAGTGTCAGGGAGAAGAGGGAGGTCTTGATCTCTTTCCAAGTTCAGGTCTGGCAACAGCAGCTGAAGTGGTTTTCAGAGGTGGTGTGGAAGGGTAACTTTATGAGGATCTCATTATAAGCCAAGGATCTCATTGCTTCTCTCCCTCTCCCCTAACCCAGATAATTAATATCCAAATGTTCCCTAAGATTAGTTTTCTTTCCTGCTCAGCTCATTGACAGGCAGTGCTGAGATTTGAATTCACAGCAAGCGAGAGCAGATGGCTACCTTAGCTAACAGATTACTGCATCAAAGCATACAAACCGTTCAGCTTTGTCTCAGTAAACGTCAACATATGATTTATAAAGCGAACATAATAGAAGAAATCCATGATTTCTTCTATAGTAAGAATCACATTACAGCACTCCTCAAAGCACTAGGGGGATTGTTGAAGCAGTTATTGTATAGTTTGCTCTGATTTTCAAAGCTTATTAGGCAAGAAAGCATTGCCTGGAAAATAATTTGTCTTCTCTTTGCTATTGCTTGTTCTCATTTCATTTTTATTGAACTAATTAAACTTAGAGATTTCCGATACATATAGCTTCTACTGAACTTCTAGCAAACATATTAGTGTGTTACAATTCACACTAATTAGATGGTTAATTGTTTGCATGGGACTTTTTTCATAAAATAAAAACCCTCTGCTAAACTTCTGTACCTGCAGGTCCATGATGAAACCGCTGTCCTCTTAATTAAAAAAAAAAAAAGGGGGGGGGGGGAGGAAGAAAGAGAAGCATTGTTTCAGGAAAAGAAAAGTCATTGTAAAATAATACATACATATCCAGCATAGCGGATAAGCTCTGCTGTAAAGTAAGCTCTGCAAGCAAAGCATGCCTAGAATTGCTGATGAGAAATTCCTCCTAACTGAGGGCAAGGCTACTTACAGTGCTTAGCAACTCCAAACGATGGCACCGTATCTCTTAAGAGAGATCTGGTATTTCCAGCATGTTGCATAATTGTTTGCCATATAAATAAATAAGACATGTGAGGTCTTGTGTGCCTGAAGTCTATCAACATTGCTGGCATTGTTTTTGAAGGAGGTCAGCTCCAAGGGAGCCTAAAACTCATTGGGTCTTTGGAAGGTCTCGGTGCACTGGAGCTGTTACTCTTCCGGAGGCGCCCATTGCTTTGGGTGCTGAAGAAGGAGATACGCGGTGGTTTATAGCTCTGTGAGATGGAGGGGGAGTCCCAGTTCTTGCAAGGGTTGGTGAGCGGTACCATCACCCAGCTTTTGTGCTTTATTGAGAGCAGTGGGGAGCTCTGCCTCGGGGCAGCAGCCCTTTGCCGCCGCTGAAGCCCTCGGTCCTTTCTCTCCTTTGCGCCCTCCTGCTGCCTTTGCCTTGAGGATGTCAGTTCTGTCCTGCTCTCTGCAGCCGATAGGAGAGGGACGGGCGCAATCTCCTACGCGACACCACGGGCTAGTGGGATTGCGGGGTGTATCCCGGCCTCGGGGCAGCAGCCCTGTCCCGCCGCTGAAGCCCTCGGTCCTTTCTCTCCTTTGCCCCCTCCTGCTGCCTTTGCCTTGAGGATGTCAGTTCTGTCCTGCTCTCTGCAGCCGATAGGAGAGGGACGGGCGCAATCTCCTACGCGACACCACGGGCTAGTGGGATTTTCCTGTTAGCGTAGTGAAGAACAGTGGAAATGAGTCACTGGAACAAAGATTTCATTGCAACTTCCACAAAGATGACAGCTTAGGATAAAATTTCATGTTTTAAAGAATGAAGGTTTTTGAGGGGGCATAGGAGGAAGCAAAAAACTGAGATTAGGATAACTTCTCTTCGCCCATCTAAAACATGCCCCTATATAATTAGCTTAATATATTTCCACATGATGTAATGTTTGCTGAGGGTATGAAGTGGAATAGGCACAGAAAAAGATTATGCAGCAGTTTACTGTACTTGTACTTACATATTTTCAAAGATGCTGTTTGTACTCCCTGCCTGGACAGTAACTGACCACAGTCAATTTCTGATTAAGCAGTATTGTTGATTGTATTCATGCATTTCCCGTAGAAGATGAGCAGTGTTTATTTCTGGCTAATGCAAATCCATGTTTTTCTCTTTTCTCTTTATTTTTTGCTTGTATCATAGACTTGCCCTCTGCAAACTTAAGCAATTATAACATCACTGTTGTGGAAGGAAAGACTGTCACGTTGTATTGTGATACTACTGGAGGCCCACCCCCTAATGTGTCCTGGGTGCTCTCCAATCTTGTTTCAAACCATGAGGTAAGTTTCATATTCAAATGTGTGGCAGTCCAGACAAGACACATCTGCCAAAGGATGGAATAGAGCCTCATCTACAGTTTTACTTAATTTTTTATCAAAAATATGAAATAGAGAATTAATATTTGGAGTGCATTTACTTTCCAGTCGCTTTCAGTTTCGGGTGACTGCTGCATTGCTTTTGGAAAATGGCAAGCATGCATTCCTTAAGAAACTGGTTTACACTTAAGTTTCTGGACATTCATTTGTAAAAGAGAGTGCTGTAATTTCATGGAAGTAGTGTAGCGAATCAGGTTCCTGAAGCTTAAGTGCTTTCTTATAATCAGAAATACCTGAGTAGACCCAGTAAGTCTAATCTACTCTAATCATGAGAAAAGCTGTATGTCTCTAATTTTATTATATTTTCAGAAAAAAAGCTTGGTGTACCGAAACTTTGGTTGTAAATATTAATTACTTTGTGGTTTGTTTCATTTTCCTTTAACAAAACGAAGTCACAACAGAAAGCTTCGAAAGTCAAAGTGCAGCTTTTGCTAAAAGAAATAGCAAGCTTCTCCTATGAAGTTTGAAAATGTTTCCACAATGAAACCATCCAGACAGTGGGAATTTTTGTTTCCTCAGATCCCCATATTCTGTGTCCATTAGACTGTGTGTGAGTGGAGTTTAAGTTCTTTCTGATGGAGATGTTGATAAGGAGAAGTGTTTAAGCAAGTCTTCGGCATGCAGCTGCTGATTTCTTAAGTTGCCGTTATTTACACTGTGCAAAAATTCCCATTATTTACAATTTTATGGCCTCAGCTCCTCTGCTTTCGTGAGGGTACAAACTGCCTACAGCTGTCCGCTCTGTACAAAGTGTATGGTGTGTACTTTCAAAGCCGTTCCTGCAGTGCAGAAGAAACGGGACCTCTGAGGTCTCTTACTCTCTACACTTTCTGCACAGACTTCATTACATTAGGCCTATGAAGAATTTGACTAGCCTGTCTTTCAACTTTCATAAATAACAGCTCTGCAGAGCTCCAGTTTTATTTGTGAATTTCTCTCTAATCTGTACAACTACCCAAAGGCACCAGTCATCATCAAGAATAAGAAATTAAAACAGTTTTGGGAAACTATGCCAAGTCGTGCTTTTTTCTTTTTCTTTTCTTTTTTTTTTTTTAGTTATGAGCCAAGACAAATGTGGGATACTGTTCAAAAAGTGACATCACCTCATTTTTTAACTTTGCTATCTTTGAAATGCCATATTCAGTTTGCTTCAAGTTTTCCAGAAATATTCTGTCCTGGCATAACTTTGTGAGATTTCAGAGGGGCTTATAACATAGGTAGCTACAACCTTAGCCATGTAGCACAGTAGTCTTTTCAGTAGCAGAAGAAAGAGTGCCTTTTAAAGCTCATTTGCCTTTCTCAACTATCATACCCTTTTCTGCAAGTGTTGGTTTTGTTTTCTCTTTGTCACTTCCATATCTCTATTTCTGCCTTCCTTTTCTTCACCTCCTATGCTGCTTTTGTCTGTTTTTCTTCTCTCCCCTCTTTTACAAGGAGAAATGTTACCAAAAGTTAAAACTAAACTCCAGTCCTGCAAACTTAACCGCATGCTTGGCTAGTAAGCTGGTGTATAATTCTGTTGATGCCAGCTAGGCTTCTCTTGCTGTACTTTTCAGCGCTGATCCTGCGATTGAGCCCCAGGCTCTAACTCTTGCCCCAAGGAGTGTTTGCCTCTGAAGAGTTATGGCCGAGGAGAAATGTGCTTTGGGGTGTTGGCTTTTCCACTCCCCTGGGGTCACACTGAAATCCGTGGGACGCTTGACTTCAGTGGAGTTCAAGTGTCGTCTTGACGTTTAGACGGCAATGCAACGGCATTGCCTAGTCCTGCAACGGCACATGCAGGAGTGCTCCCCCATATCCCCACAGGCTGTCACTGGAAGTCACTGTGGTTTTACAGGCACAGCATGTCATTTGCTTGCCTTCTGTGTAGCATCAAGCATGTGTTGTGTGTACACTAAGAAGAATTCCCCCCCCGAGGAGTTTTTTAAATGATGATCCTCATTGTTATTTATTTTCTAAACTTGTTTTGGTTCCTTTCCTTTCTAAGAAAATAACTTCACATTTTATAAAAAGAAATTAAGTAGAGAAATAGTAATTGGATATCATTTTAAGGACCTGATTTAAGAAAATAGAGGCTGTAACAGCCAGCTTTGACACGTTGTTGTGAAGGTGTAGTACAGCTCAGAAGGCAGCAGTAGAAGAGGTGTCAAGCTAAGCGTAAAGGAGAGAGATAAAAGGAAGAGTAAAGCAAGGACTGAGCAGAGCACAGAGGGGAAGAAAAAACATTAAGGAGAGCTGAGATAGACCATAGAAATCAGTCATGAAATGGAAGAGGGGGCGAGCAGAGGAATGGATACAGAAAAAACAATTTGTGGAGAGGGGAGGAAGTATTGAAAGAAGGGAGAAACTAAAAGCGACAGGATGGAAGAACGGATGATCGTAGTGTTCACAGCAGAACAGCTCTTTTGGGGCTGTAAATCCCCTGCTACTGATGGTTACAACTGGTTCTTTAGGTGTTTTGCATCTGTTTGGATAAGACACCAAAGTAACACTTTGATTAATTGCAGGCTGATGCAGCTAAAAGGACATGAAACTGGAAAATGCCGTTGAACTGTGGCCAATGGCGCTCTTGCCCTTGTTTCTTTATGCTGCAGTTGATGCATACGTATTTTTCTGATCATTTGTAGAGTGACACAAGTAAGAATCCTGCCTCGCTAACCATAAAAAACGTTTCATCCATGGACAGCGGACTGTGGATTTCTTGCGTAGCGGAGAACATTGTGGGAGAGGACCAGGCGTCTGCCGAGCTCACGGTGTTCTGTACGTAAGCAGGGCTGCACGCGCCGCCCAGGGCCACACCACCCTGGCACCAACTGGTCTGGGTATAAATATTTGCTGGGCGTGCATGCTGTTGAAAGGAAAGCACCCTGAAAGCATGTGAACTATCTGTTGCAGTTAGTGCTGGGAATAGCCCAACCAGCAGTTGTTATTTTCATCTTTTTCTGCTCTGAGTGCTTCTGCAAAAATTGTGTGTCTAAACGCTTTATCTTCCAGTTTGGACAACCTGCAGGTAAACGCCTGAAACCCAAAATATTCAGTGGCACTGTCAGTGTGAAAAAGCTCGTAACAGTGTGCATATGCACACTTAGATTCTTATGAATCTAAGAAACAGGAACACCTCAGAAGGGTCATAGAAATTATTTGCAGTAAATTACAAATTTTCAAATTCTTTTAAATCTGAGGCCACAACTGCTTTATTCAAAAAATAACACACTTGCAACATTTGTTCTGCCAGATGTAAATTTATTTGTCATAGCTTTGAATAGTGTACTAATTTGTCAGGGCCAAGGAAGGGGGAAGGGACATGAGTATAGAGACTTTGGCGTCTTAGATCTAAGATTCCAGCCTGAACTCATTTTATGTGAAATAGACAGGATGTTTTCACAAGTTGCAACCCTCTGTTTAATGGAAGATGGGAATGGAACGCTTTGTAGATGGAAAACTTTGTTCAGCATGTGCTCATGACAGAGTAAACTAGTGAAATTACTATAGATGCACTTCAAATGGCTTGTAGGTTGAAATTGGATATGTAATAGCTGTGGGAAGGGACATAAACTAGAAATGTTTGAACAGTGTAAATGAGATTCTCAAAGTGGCACTGTTATGATTGATAAAACGGAGTTTAACTAGACGAAATTGGATGCAGTTAAAACTGAATATCAAGGAAAATTTCCCAACAGTGAAATAGCATGCAAGGTGTTGGAACAATCTTCTGAGTATGAGCCTGTAAACCTCAGCAGGTTTGAACAAAGAAAACGTATCGCACAAAAATACATTCCTCATGGAAGAATCCAGGGAATGAAATCATCTGCTCTGGCTTTGATTCTGTGAAGAAAATCATCTGAAAGTCTGGATTCCTAGCTGAATATATTTCCAGTGCTGCTTGCTTTTAGCCAACTTTTAACTATTTTTAATACTGTTTTGTTCCTTCAGCGTTCCTCTGCACCATTTTTAGCACAGTGAAAAGCTCTCTCTCCCTTCTCCGTGATCCGGTAACTGAATTTTCCACACCTCACAGAGTCTGAGTAGCTCAACAGGGGTTCAGTCTTTGTCTGAAGCTAGTTTGTTTTGTTTCTTTTTGAAGAATGGCCCCATTTCAGTTCTGAGCATAGTATCGTAGGCAGAGCAGGTGGGCCTCCTATGTGAGTATCCTCCAGATAGGTATAGTAATGCCTAAACAAGCATATTTTAGCGCTGATGGATAACAGATATTTTCCCTGATAACTCGAGGGAGGGGGGGGAAAAAAGCCATGTTCAGGATATTCTGATGTTCTTCACTCTTTTTTCCAATATAGTTGCACCAAATATCACATTTATTGAATCTCCAACCCCTGACCACCACTGGTGCATTCCATTCACTGTGAAAGGGAACCCTAAACCCACCTTGCAGTGGTTCTATGAAGGGGCTATACTGAATGAGTCTGAATACATCTGTACTAAAATACATGTTATCAATCAAAGTGAATACCATGGCTGCCTTCAGCTGGACAACCCTACCCATCTGAACAATGGTGCTTATACCTTGCTGGCAAAGAACGACTATGGAGAGGATGAAAAACGGGTTGATGCTCATTTCATGTCGGTGCCGGGAGATGGTGAGTATAATGTTTTTATGTTAGCAATTGCAAACTGATGAGACAGTGGGGACAGTGCTGCTGGACAGCTTACCTATTTTGGAGGAAGCTTTTTATATACACGTTCTTCTTTGAATGAAGGTCATCAGGATTAGTTGTAAAAAATATTTTTCTTGAACAGTTTCTTGTTTATTGCTCCTCAAGAGGGGCTGTGCTAAAGCTCCCTAAATCCTCGCTTTGAGTAACCATTATCAGCACCAGCTGATACAGCTAAGGCTGTAAAACATCACTATTTCTGAAGTGCTTTCTCTAGTCTAGGTTCTGATCCTGGAAAGCACTGAGTGCCACTTCAGTCAGTCTGCAAGTTTTCTGCACCGTGGATGAGTGCAACTAGGCAGCGTGTCCAAGGGCACAGGGAGTACGCCTGCAAAGGATCTAGTGCCTTGTTACAAAATCGATAATGTAGGCCGCCACTCCGTGCTCATATATTGTTTAGGACACCAGAGGGAGCTGGAGAGAAAACAAGCCAGAGGCAGGATGGGCAAGGTCTCAGGTCCTCAGGGGCAACTAGACATTTAATTCCCAGTCATTTCAGTGAAGGTCGGGCACCTGCATGCCTAGGAATATCCATGCTCAAGATGGTTGCCGTTAAATGTATGCATCTTATACTGCTCCAAAGGCTCCAGGTCAGCCCTCCTAAGTGCTATGTGAGCCACCTCAAGGTGGACTAACTTGCTGAACTGCGGGGATGGCTGTAAGTGGTTGATGTTCATCGTGGTTTCATCTTTCCTCACATCTTCAAAGCCATAAGAGAAGGGACTGTAAGAGTAAGAAGGCATACATGTAAGTGTACTGCTATGTATGAAAAAACTCTCAGTGGACCTTGCACAGCAAGAGTGGAAATACAGGCATGTTTTTGTGCACATACTCAGACATTCATATCTAAAAATATGAGTATGTGTATACCTTTGGCTTTTTAACTATGGGATAGAAATAGCCTCCCTCTTTTCTGAAACAGCAGTGTGCAGTGCTAATGTTATGTGATTAGAAAAAAGGTGAACATTTAAGTTCTCTCTCCTACGTTGCAGGCTCTAGACAATAAAAATACAGCCCGTATTTAACATTTGTACCTATCAGCTCAGTCTGCTATGGGGAGTGAGATGGCAGTTCTTTTCCTTTCCCACTCTTAGAAGAAGAAGGTGAAGAGCTGATACAGCCAGACTCTATTTACTCCCGCTGCTTTTAGTAACTCCCCTCCTGTTTTTTCTCCAGAGTCCTTCCTTAAATAGAATCATTATAAAAACATGCCATGGTTTCAGCTACTGGCATCCTCTAATACTGCATTATAACAGTTGAGTAAAACATTTTACCTCATACACATTCTGCATACAAGTTCTTTAGACTCTGATTATTTAATATGAACCTGGCTTCATTTTCTTACCAGAATAACAATTACTCTAATACATTTATATGAATTTGATTTTTTTCTTTGATTCAAATACATTTCACTGCTCCCTTTTCCCTTTATGCTTCTCCCCTGTAGATTTAAAATTTCCCAGCTGTGGCCTTTTAAATTGTTAAATAGAACAGAAGTTATCCTCCCAGTTATCCTCCCTATCCTCCGGAAAGACAGCATTATTTATTCGTTCTTTCATTTTTGTAATTATAAGCAATTTAAATCTCCCAAGATAATCTGTGCTCTGTTTTTTAAGCATTTCTCAAGCTCTCCGGTGTATTAAGCTTCACAAAAGCTCTATAGAGGAAACTAGAATACATACAGAGAGGATGTAACTGTATTACAAATCAGTTCATGCACAGTGGACAGCACCAAACCAGTTTTAAAAATTAACAACAGGGGAAATTGCTCATCTAGTTAGATTCCTCAATATTGTTTTTATTAGTGGGGTTTTTTCCCATAGGGCTCATGACATTGAGCTTTAGTATATTCCACAACATTGTTGCCTCCTACACAGAAGCTGGCATAAAAGCAAATGTTAAAAAACTAAAATCCTCCATGCATTGTAGTACTGTTGTTTTTTTTTTTTCTTCTTCTACTACTATTTAAAGCACTGCCAGGATTTTTCAAACCCTTAAAAGGCCTTTTCAGCCCTGTCGTTACTGTGTAGTTTCTTCTTTTGGCCCACATATCATACAATGAAGCATAAAGATTAGGCCCACGCCCTGGTATTATGTTCATTTCCATGCCTTCATGACTGAATTAAATACCAGCCACGATGTTTCATGGGGTGGGGTATCATCAGTGAGCTTTGAACCGATTCCGTGGTTATTACATCACTTACGGGCAAATGCACTGAAAGATAAAAGAAAGCAAATTTTAAAACCCTTCACCTGTTTATTTAAAATAAACTCAGCAAAATCTGAAGCATATTGTTTTGTCACAGCGTAATCCCCCACTTTCAAAGTTGTATCATATACAATAGGGACAAGATTGGTGCGAGGATGCTTTCAGATTCCAGTACGCTACTTGCAGAACGTTTTTTGCTGGACTAAGGATGCAGGCATAAAGGGGAGGAAGGCATGTACCGTGGCAGGATTTGGATAAAGTTAATGATATCACAGCTAATGTAAATTAAAACTTATTTTCGAAATACTAAGTCTGGGAGAATAAATTTCACATTCTATTAACGAAGTCTTTTTTAACTAGTCTTAATCTGCTAAACTTCATGAACTCCAGTGTAACTCTTGTTGCTGAGGATAATTTAACTATTTCAGCAGCAAATGGTAAGCAAGAAACACCCATGTTTTATTGTGGGGGGTGTTTCCAAAATCGATCTATAGAAGCTAACAAGCACTAGAGAGACTGTTAACAATAATAACTATATTTATAAGTAAGCTTGTTCATCTCCCAGCCCTCCACTCTAAAATTGAGCTGAAGGAGCTCAAATCACGTAGTATCTTGTCAAGATAAAAGAATACGTTACATATGCCTTAGAAGTAGCGTCTTGATAGAGTGGCATAATATCATGGGGCTGTTTCACAGCAGCATTTTTTTGGCTTGAGTTTTTTGCTGCTGCTTTATTCTGAAAATGTCAACTTTGTAAAGAAAGAATTAAGCAAGCCAAATGTAGTTGATGCAGTTTATAAAGATGATTGGATAAGATATGTCTATAATAGTTTATTTGCACAACAACCTGTCCTAGCAGAGACCAAAACAACAATGCTGTTCTTTGTTTACATTAAAAATAATTGCATGTAAACATGTAGAATTACTGTGGTGAGATTTCATGTTAAAATAGCTTCAACCACTGCTTTGATGATTGAGTAGATATGTTTTTATATAGGGAACACTGTATAGAAATAGGGGTTTGGTCTAACTAACTTCTTGATTTTGCAACTTTATTTCATGTGAAGTGTTTAGTTATATGAAAGGCTTTTGAACAGGGTAGATGACTTCCTAGAACATATGCCCCTAGCAGGAATTAGAGGTTAAATTAGTCTGATTATTTTATCCCAATTCTGGTAGACAGTAACAACAGTGTTGGCATTTAATTCAGGAGTGAAGGTCTAGGAAGATTTTTTTCGTCTTCCTTTAGATCATGAGAAGTAGGACTCATACAGAAGGTAAATTGGAAATACGTTCTTTCATCAGCTAAATGTTTTGTACTGGAAAAACTGAATCTGTGAAGATTTATGGACAGAAAAGCCTAGTCAGAAGTTGCTTGAGAACAGATAGGAGTACCTGGTCATGTCACTTGTGGTTTATTTCTTAGCTGGCCGTTGCCATTCTCATGGGGTCATTTTAACCTGTATTTCTGGGTCTTATATCTTCAAATGTATTTAAAATGAACCTAATTATCTATTGTCATTCTGCAGATAGGTTGCAACTCTTGTTTTTTGTTTTCAATACAGAGTCTCTTGCTGTTGGCTTAAAAAGAAACGTGTGTTCTGGTCATACTTCATAGTGGCTTTATGCCAGTTTAATGCCACTGGTGTGGAAATACTGTATGATACAATACAGAGAATTAGGTGTTCTGAAGTTTGATTCATCTTTAGAGGTTTTAACTAACTGTTAATTTTATTTTCACAATAACAAAAAGAAAGAGTAAGATAATTAAGCACCTACCAAATGAGACATGCTATAAATGCTGTAAATACATCATAGACCAGGATGAATGAGTATGTTGAAATATAGCACAAGTATCTGTCAACGAGTGATTAGACTAACAGTATACTACTTCCAGTGAGCGTTCTGTGTATTATGCTCACTTATGTGCTCAGCCTTACAGATGTGCAGTAATTAGAAAAAGCTGCAACCTGTAACTAGTAACATCTAGAAGGGTATGGACTAGACGGGTGTCCTCTTGTGTGAAGGCTGGATTCTCTAGTTTCTTTGCCTACGGAAGGTCTTACTCTTTCAGAAAGATTTGTGTCTGTGCATCAGCTGAGCAGCTGGTTTCCTGGGAGCATCCTCTAACAGAGTGAATGAAGTGGTGCTGCTTAGTCCACTGCTACCTCTAGCCCTTAATTTGCCAGCTCACAGTGTTTAACATTGATTTTCAACAAGAATAGTTCCTGCTGCACTTATTCCAGATATGCATTAACATTGCAGAGCAGAATTTTGTCCATTTGAGAAATATGTTCGCTTTTACCAGCGCTAATGCCCTGTGCATTAGCCATTTCACATGAAGCAAAGCGTTAATGGTTGGAATTGCTCTAAAATAATTGTAAGAGTAATCTGATAAACAGCTAGAAGAATATATTGATGTTGCTTTGTGTTTGTGTAGGTACTGACCATTGTTATTGCAAATAACATGCCAATGCTTAAAAAAATGCCTAAAGAAACTCTTACTGTTCCAGCATTTGCAATCTATTTACAAAGGCTTTTTTTTCTTTCTTTTTTTTTCCTCTCTTCTCCATATACAGGTAGTGGCCCAATTGTGGATCCAGACGTTTATGGTATATATTTGATTTTCTTTTTCTTTTCTTTTAATGATAGAAATGAAGGAACTCAAACCACTAAAAGATTGAATGTCAGGCTCAGTTAAACTGAAATGGCACATATTATAACACAGTTCTAAAAGGTACTTTGTGTTGTTGGTTCTTTTCCTGCCTTATGTTATTTAAGAAAAATGAGGGCAATGTGACGTTTTGCTTTGCTGCTTTTGATTCCAATTAGGAGAAGCAAAAATCCACTGCTACCGGTAGTTACAATCGGTCCTGCAGGATGACAGCTGTCTGATGTAGCTCATGGACATGAGATTTTCTGAGCCTTTCAGAAGCATTTCTTGAAGGAATGAGAGTTCATGATGTCTCCTTATATAACTTAACTTATTTTTCCAGGGATGGTTCTATACTTGTTTTGCCTCCAAAAATGTTCCCCTAAATCCCCCTTAAAAATGAGGTTGGCACAAGTGAGTTTTTCTGTAGGCAATTTATTTTTCTCTGTCCGCTCTTTTGTACCTTCCCTTAATCTCTCTTGCATAAGCAGAATATCAAGTCAGTAATATCTGAGTGTGTGCCAGAAGATTTGATGACACGGTGTTCACCTTAGTTTTTTGTTAGGCAAAATGTTTTAGGCTGTACCTAGTGAAAACCAGTGTGCACTATCACAGAAGCTGCAACCTGAAAAACAACTAGCTAATTTCAGATAACGCTTCTGATGTACTTCTGCTCAGCATGAAAGTCCATCCTCACCAACGCATCCAAAACACCCTTTAACTTCCAGCAGAAGCTGTTCAGAGTACTTTTGTTTGGATGAAATGGCACATGACTCAAGTTTCCTTAAGCTGATTTAAATGTTATTGCTTTGATTCCATTCCATGTCATTAAACTTCAGCAAATGTGCAATTGAAGCATCAATTTGGCTTTAAATTCCTAGGAAATAGCTTCCCCTCCCTCTTTTTCCAAATTCTTTTTCTTTGACCAGGGTTGGGGCGGGGGGGAAGGAGAGGAGGAAAGGGGGTGATGGTCTGCACAGTTTCCTACATGTGTTGTGTTGTATAAGTTGTATACGTAAAGATTTTGATTCTGAGGTGTTTACCAAGGTCTTGATGCGTGTGTATGACTTCAACCATGTGAGTACCGTGATTAGTTGACTTTGGTAGATTCTGTTGAAATGTGTGCTTTGGGTTGTGCGACTGGATCAGAGCCTGAAAGATCTAGTGCTGATTAAAACAGCATTCCTTTTTATTTCTGGTTTTTCTTCCTACTTTTTGAAATTGGTGGCTTTGATCTTTGTTTCAGTGACTCAGTGCTTGCTTTGTGAAGCACTTTGTAGTCCAGAGCGCTTCCTTAATTATTCCAAATTCACAAGTCTAGTTAGTGAGATGAATAAATAAGACTGGCTAAAAAGTCTGGAAACTGTCACACTTGCATCTCGGGAGAGCCGCTGCTTGCGTGGCCCGTTGCAGGAGCTGCCCTGGGGTTAGCCCCCGCCCTGGGGACAGGCGATTCCTCGTAGCTTCATTTCATCTATATGCTATTCTGTTTACCCTTAAAATTAGACTCTGTGGGAAGGAGGATGTAAAGGTCCCATTCTCCACCCCGTTCTTCCCTTTGACACCTACTTTTGAGTCTCCTATGCCAAACGTAGTACAAATGTGCAGTGTAAAGGGTGTAGACAGCTGTAGAGGACTTGACCCTGAAGCTTGCTATGCTGCAGCTCTACGTTTTTAAGCACTGCTGGTACAGTCAGTGGGAGTTGCGAGCTCATCCGGCTCGGTAGGGCTCGGGGGGTCACGGTTTTTTTTTCGAGGGGGTGAAAGGTTTAAAAATGCTGTGGGACACAGGAGAGCTGGAGAGCTGACTGAAGCGCCGGCAATATTACGTTTGCTGGGGATGGCGGGGAGCCTGTGCGTGGGGTGCCCCCTATGCGCAAAGCGCAGCGCAGTCCTTAATCCCCCGTAACCCATCTCTGCAGGGCCCCGTGGGAAAGATAAGGAGGAGGGGTTACCACCGTTTTGTATGAGAAGTACCTGAGACACAGAAATAGTGACTTGCTCAAGGCTGAGTAGGAAATCAAATGCTAAGCCAGTTTCCTTGGCGCTTAATTCATGTTTTTATGCCATCCTGCTTTTTCTAACGTGGCCATAAAAAATGAAAGAGACAGTATGCCCCATAAAACCGACCTCCCAGGAGTGTTTTACAAAAAGACTCCCTGGTGCCTGTGACCGTGCTTTTGTCTGCATCCCGGCTGCTTTACACCTTGTTTATAAAACGGCTGCAAAGTACTACCCTGGCTGAGTAGTGATTTACCTCCGTTGGCATTGGTGTATGTGGCTGCACAAGGCACTAGGCACCAGGGAATCGAGCCCTGAAGCAATAGCGTGAGTCAAGAGGCGTGACCCTGTCTGTATCCGAATGTGATGTGGCTATATCAGGATTTCATAATAAAACGAACAGGAATTTGTTTAATTCAGAATTGCCCCCTTTTGGCTGGATGGTTGTTGCGCATGTTTTCCTTGCCTAGCTCATCCATTTCAGGAGACTTTGAAACTCTGGCACTAATTCAAATTCAAATTCTTCACAGTTATACAGTGGGAAATGGCATGCAGTGCCAATGTACCAAAGTGGCCTACTTTATCCCTTTCGCATTTGAATATAATACCGTATTCAGAGGATTCACAGACCCTGAAATACTTTGCATAGTTCTCATTAGTCCTTCAGTGCATATTTTCCAGTAGCATGGTATAGAAATGAACATGAACACAATTGCAAGTACAGTTCATCAGCTTTCGCCACCCACTATTTGCAGATTAAAATTAAGAGCAACACATTTCCTTCTGGAATGCTTATATTGCAGCGATAGAGCAATTAAAGTTTTTAGTATTGTGTGGTCAAAGCTATCATAGTGAAGACATTGCCAGCAAACTGTAAAGAAAGCCCAGCCTTATAGCCTGAAATGTTTGTTATAAACTGGATTCTTCACTGATCAAGAGTCTAGGTGCTGCCTGTAGGTGAGTAAGACTGAACTCTCCTCCTTTGTTGTGGCAAAACTTGTAGTCACAGTAGTGGATGGGCTGCACAGCGCCTTGTCTCACTGTCCAGGCTATGCAAGCAAGGAATTCAGGTGGGATTTATTTTACAAGAAGTAAGGATTACTCTTTTTTTGCCTTTCATCGCTATTTTAACCTTGCTACAGAGGAAACTATAGACATAGGGATGCAATGCTGAGTTGGAGAATTTAAGTGGTAAAAGGCCAGGAACTTAAATCTGTTTTCTCATGAAAGCTCTGTAGACTTAATATGTATTATGGCTTGAAAAAATTATGTCCTTTGGTGTATATATTGTAGACCCAGAATAGACTATGCGTATCGGTTAGAAAACCTGACTGGACCGACTGTAGTATTGGTGGCAGAGGTAGCTATATAGGTTCCAATGGCAAAGAGATCTGCAGCCTGATGAGCTCTGTGCAGAAGGAAGGTGTTTGTGAATGCATGAAGATCAAGGCCGGTGCAGCTTGTTGCTAACTTTGCCAGCTGAGCTCTCCAGAATAGCCTTGGGAGCTAAAGAAGATAAGCTTTGCCAAGACACAGGCTCTACCTCCCCTTGCCTGGTGGCAGCTCTGAGGTCAGAAGAGTTCCTGCCTCTGCGGTTTGTGCGAGCTATGGCTCTGCGTTTTACTTTTTCATATTCACAGTCACAATTTCATCTGTAGGCTTGTGGCACTGATTTTCATCAAAAAATAGGTAAAGATATACACAGTTACTTGCAAATTTAAATTGGAGTACTGGAGGTGCCTTTGTAATAAATGCACTTATTGTCCTTGTTTGTTTTCTTTCATCTACACCCATATTACAGTCATAACATTGAAACATGATATATATTTCCTGATGTAATCATAAAATACCTTAAGCCTTTTTATTTTAATGCATGCATCAAAGTTCATACATTTATTCTTTAGTTCTTATTGTCTTATTTGAGTAATTCTGAGAGAAAATCATGGACTGCACATATTTGTGTTTCATTTTTAATTAATTATAAATAATTAAGCCATGTTTATTCTTTTGATGGAATTGTCCTGGCTTCATCTCTGCAGACCTAGGAGTAGTATTGTTTTGATAAATCAAATTTCTTAGGACCATCTCAGGCACTTAGCTTTTTTAAGGTTTACCTGTATGACCAGTTCAGCATGTTAGACTGTAATCTCTGTGCACACAATAGTATTCCTGATTACATTTAACCTAAGAAAAACAGCCATTTCACATTTGATAGCAATACGCTAGCTAAAAGGCCATCTGCCAAGTTCTCCTCTGCTGAGCAGAAGGTCCCCAAGCTAATTTCTAAGACTCTCCTATATTTGGCTGAATAGAAGCTAGAAAAGTTCAGTGTAGAGGGCAGTCTTTCATTTTTAATGGGAAGTCAGAAGCACATAAAAATAGCTTTATGGATGGAGTTCTTATTTAACTCTAGTTTTTTTAATATATGCTGTGGCGTAGATTCCTTCTCTATCACGCTGCATAGAGAAGCAGCTGCTTTTTTCAAGTCTGTCAGTCACCCCACGTTTATTCAAAGTTACCTGCCACGAGGATCCCAAATGTATCAGGTACAATAGAAAAAAACGTATCATTTTCAGAGAGCTCTGAATGCTGAGAGGTGTGACTAGTGTTATGGTATTGTAGAAATGAAATAAAAAAGGACAACCATTTCCCCTCTAAGGTTACAAAATTATAAAAGCAACCTTTTTTCCTTTCCTAAGAGTATGAAACCACGCCTAATGATCTTGGGGATACCACAAATAACAGTAATCAAATCACTTCCACGGATGTTTCCAACAAAGAGAATGAAGATAGCATCACTGTAAGTATATACGTTGCTTCCTGATCTGTAGTCTTGGCAGACTTTCTGACTATAAAGCTAATGAAACTGCGGAGATTGTAACGGGACCCCAACGCACCAGAACAGCAGAGCCATTACCATGTTGCTATCCAAACTTAGGAGGAAGAAAAAAGGAAGAAAAAAAGATTCACCCTCCCCCTCCCCATGTTCTTTTAAAGAGTGGATCACTTTTCATTCCAAGTAAAATTGTTAATTTGTTTCATGCCTTCCTGAACAGCTAACTGCAATTTGCCAGTCCAAGGCTTTGCTTCTAATTTTAGCCAAGGAGAGCAACTCTTCATGTACAAAATGAAGAAATCCGAGGTAGTTTAAAGCCTGTTGCCTGAGTCCCAGGCCGCTCGCAAAGGGGGCATACTGCGAAGAACTTTCAAATTCCAATTGTGTGTTTCAACATGTGATTTTGTGTAGTTTTTTGATGAGGTAATTTGCAGCACATCTTAGTACAGGCAGCTGAATTGGTGAGCCTGCTTGTTTGGTGCCTCGCCTCTTGTGCTGCCCTGGACTCCGAAGCTGAATGGTTGGAAGCTGGTAGCAGGTGCCTGCTCTGGTTAGTTTTACTGCCTCCCTGCTCCAGGCGTTGATGATGCCACAAGGTGATGGGTGGTGGAGAGCGTGTGCGTTTGTGAACCAGTGGGTGAATTGTGAGTGGAGAAAGAATAGAAGAGGAGGCTACACAGGCTAGATCCTATCCCAGGATGTATGGGTGGAGGTGATGGAGGAGGCATGTGTTTTGTGCAGGACGGGAGAAGCCTACCTGGGGGCTCTCTCCAGTGTTGATGGTTGGGGAGTGGAAAGTTATAAGAGTAAGGACAGAGGGCAGAGTTCCTAGAGCTTCTGTTTTATTCTGTTTCTGTCCGTTAAGTGCAGTGGGGCCGTGGCTCTGACAGCCTCCAGTCCCATACCTTAGCCCTGGTTGCTTCATGGAGGTAGACTGTGCTAAAAGATCAGGAGGATCCTGGACAGTCTCATCTCTTCTGATAGGAGAATCACGGAGTGGCTGAGGTTGGAAGTCCAACCCCCATGCTCAAAGCAGAGTCACTTAACACTGGTTGCCCAGGACAGTGTCCAGTTGGGTTCTGAGTATCTCCAAGGATGGAGACTCCACAACCTCTCTAGCGAACCTATGCCAGTGTTCAATCACCTTCACATTAAAAAAGTATTTTCTTACAAGCTTTTTTAATGTATTTTCTTATAACATGCCATTGCACTGGAGGAAAAAGGGGTGATGGGCATTCCCTCCTACACACCTTGAACGTGTTAGGATGTGGAGAAAAGTGGTTCTCAGAGACGTCTGAATCCCTGTTCTCTGTGGAAGAAACCTCAACAAGTGGCTTCCTTCTAAAATTTTTGATCTGAGTGCAAATGTTTCCTATTTCAAATAAATTTCTTTTCCTAATTGAGTTAATCTGAAATTATGTTAAAGGACTTTGAAGACAGTTCATAACAACAAAACAAACAGATCTGTTTGTGTCCTCTTTTTTAGGTTTATGTTGTGGTGGGAATTGCAGCACTGGTGTGCACTGGCTTAGTGATAATGCTAATTATTCTGAAGTTTGGAAGACACTCTAAGTTTGGGATGAAAGGTAAGCAGGGTTGTTTTTTATATCTTCCATAATTGTTATGGGTTGTACAAGCTTTTTCCATGGGTTTCTGCCTAAGAACAGTCCAGATAAAGGGCCATCACATTTTGCATTTCGTTTATTTGTCAGGTAAGTAAGGGCAGAAGTAGGCATAGACAGGGATACAGAATTTTAATTTGAACTGTTCTACTTCTGTTTTTCCTTATCATAGATCAAATTTCTCTCCCTTCCACTGCACAGCCCCATGGGACACTTTCTGGAGTAAAATGTTAGTTGAGTCTTTGTAGGGAGGTAGATGGTAGGAAGTAAAGTTTATTCTGAGATGAGTTTGGTTATAAATATTTGACAATGTGAGAACCTGTGCTTCAAACTGTATTATACATGCAGCGTTGGGGTAACAGATTCAAAGCTAAACAACAGCAAGAGGTGAAGGTGTATCTGCAGTGCATCCTGTCACACTGATGCTTTCTGATGGATGCATTTTCTAGAGCTTCAGTGTGTGTCTTGAAGTGGCAGCTGGAGAGAGTGGCAAGTGCTCATGTTCTTGTGGAAGGGGAAATCTCAGCCCTTTCGTTTTTATTTAGTTTGTTAGTTTACAGCCAGATGGAGGTACTTGTAACATGAAGGTACCTGTAACAGCTCCAGTATGGCATTATTGTACTGAGCTAATCAGTCCGTGTCTAGAGATATGGGTGGAATGGTATTAAAAACACACAAACACGCACACACAAACACGCACACACACAAACACACAGAGGAAACATTGATTATCTTGCTGAGAGGCCTAGAAGGTGCTTTACTGTGTGCTAAAGGAGACAAGCTTTTGTTCTTAAGATGTGTAGTTGAGGGTCTGTGAAGAGAGCGGTAAGTAATCTCTTAGTAGGTTCCTGTTAACCTTATGTCTTTCCTCTTACTCATGCTTATGATGTAGTATCACAGAAGTTTTTTCCTCATGGTTGTATATCTTGGTGAATCCGACTTGTCCTTGACAGTGTTCTTTTCAGAAGTATATACTGTGTATTTGATATTTGTATATTTTATATATATTTTGTTTAGAGGAAAGTTCCTAGAAGAGATTCAATTTGAGCAGAGCAGAGATGTAGATGGTACATATTAGCTCACTGGGATGGTACCCTCCTTTTCTTTCACTTCCTTCTGATGACCCGTCCCTGGTCTTTGGAGTTGCATAAAGAAGATAGGCATTGTGAAAAGTCCTAAAAAACTACATGGAGCCTGTGGGATAGAGCTGCAGAGTTTTTGGCCAAATACTAGAAGAAACTCTCAAGAACTGAACAAAAAGTTTGGGTACATTTTCTTTGTGGCTAATGCTTTCTGAATTGCATTAGACAGCTGAAGAAAATGGAAGCCAAATAAGAATAACAATGGGAAATGCCTGAGGTTTGGACTTTAACAACGAATGCTTGTTAGGTCTTTCCAAATTTTCATTGTAGTTATCAACATAGCATTATTGGAGGAACTAGGAAGTAAACTCTACGCTGCAGGAGAATGAGTAAAGTTGTATTTTACATGGTAATGTAGTAAGCTACCTTCCAGGGAACTCCTTACTTAGTGGTGTTTTTTGAGTATCTGTTGAGAACTATTCTGACAAAAATAATGGTCTTGCATAATCAGTAATTTTTGCATTAGTAGTTCTCTGTTGCAGAATTGTCCATCTAGATCATATTTGAGTAAGGATGTATTTTCAGGGGGGTGACTGGCCAAAATTAAGGCAGCAACCACAACTATGGAGTTTATTTTATTCTGTTCATTTAACCAGTGATGGTTAGAAGAGCAGTAAAATGAGTTCACTGTTTAGGTACACTCCAAAAACTAATCACTGGCATGGTATGTGTGATAGTGGTGAAATGTCACTATGAGCTGCAAATAAAACCCAAACTTTGCATTAGAAAGAAATGATGTTCAGTTATCCTTTAAAATGGACCTCAGACTTCTCTGAAGTTCCGTACCTGAGCTTCACAATATGGGTCTATCTGTGGATCCAATGTCCCAGCAACACTTCCTCACTTTACTACCATCAGTATTGTTTAATTTGTATTTGAGTAGTATTTAAAGACCTGAAATTAGAACACCATATCGATATGTATTACCCAGAATGTTAATAAAAAATTACCTGCTCTAAAGATCCTGCAACATAAGCATATATTGAGAAATAATAAATGGAGATAAACAACCTGGGATATTTGAGCATGAGGAAAATAAGGCAACAGTGAAGAGAGATTTCTTACAGTCGGTAGTTGGTCAGTATGATACATTTAAAATGTATATCTTGGAAATTTTGGATAAAAGGATCAAAGCAGCTACCTGTGAATTGCATGAGTGGTTTGTCATTGAGTTCAGTGAGAGCAAAACTAGCCCCCAGCTTAAGATAGGGACATTATTTTATAACTTTTTTTTAGGGAAAGGGAAAATAATAAAATATCCGGATTGCCAGGAAAATATTTATAAAACAAGATAAAATCTTTCTCTTTTCAAATATTCCCCAAAAAGTGAATGAATATTTTACATTCATAAGAAGGAGCTTCCCGAGTTACATAGGGCAGAGATACCCAAAAGACTGTGCTTCGTTTTCTGTTATCTTGTGCGAACACAATACAGACACCTTGTCATTAAACATCCTCCCTCCCCTTCCTCAAACAATAGTTTAGAGAAAAAAAACAAAGCAGTCACTCCATGTTAACTGGGGCGGTAGACCTGGTGCTCAACGGCATTGCTCATGTTGCCAGGTACTAATAGGGGAAAATATTCCACAGACAATCGGAAAATGAAATGTATAAGTAGGCAATCAGCCCTGTGTCCCGTATAGGTGATATCTTTGTAAGGGATGAAATTTTCATCCCTTCTGGGTTCACAGCAGTCATCTGCCGCATCTTGAAGACATTGTTTTATATTTTGTATTTTTTAATGCCAATTTATCTCATTTTCTGCATGGTCAGGGATCATGTATCCTCTTCTGGCACTGTTTCCTTGCTGAATCCCTCCTCACTTTAAGAGCTAGAGCATGGCTGGAGGTTGGGAATGAGTGTGACTAGTCTCCCCAGAAAGAGATGCAGAGCAGTTGGTTGTGCTCTGAGCCGTGCTGCATTTGAGTGGCCGTACCTAGAAGCACTTGCATGTGCTGAGCAGCCACAGAGACTGCGGCAGAGCTCACCGTCCCCCTGTTGTCTTCTTGCCAGGACTGTACCTGAGCAGAAGACGGTCCAATTTATATGACAGGGAGCGCCTGGGGGGCGCTGGGGGCTTCCAATACATTTCCAGTACAGATCAGTTTCTAGTGAGGTGCGTTAAGGAGGTGAGTAAAAATAACTTACCCTCTCTTTTGGCTTCTCTCTTTGTTCTGTATATCTAAGGTGAGGGTCAGCTTGGGATGCATTCATTTCACGCTGTTACCTTGCCAAATTTCAGTAGTATAGTGCTTTTGCAGGTGAAAAAGATGAGCAAATCAGCTCACCACCAGTAAAACAACTAAAATATTTTGTTTGTGATGTCCTGGATTCTGGCTGTAGTTGGCTTGCACTGTATGTGGCAATTCTTTTCACTCCTGCCCTGCTTTTTTGTACTCTGTCTTTCATAGTTTGGGGAAATAGAGTTCTAATGATTAACTTCAGGATCACTCTTAGTGGAGAACTGGTCTGAGATACGTACTAGAAGAGACTCAAAGTAGCTTTAGTATGAAAGGAAATTCTTCCTTCTACTCTGTGGAAAAACTTTCATGTTGTGCTAGACTTCTAGATAGCATTGCAAAATTCATCAAAGTAACTGATAGAACCTAATTCTCTCTCTTTCTCTGCTTCTATATATCTTAAGCACCTTCTTAAAAAGCATCTGTTGGTAACAGCTTTGGGTGGGAAGCTCCTTTTGGCTCTTTGGAGAGGTGAGGTTTTTAGATCCTTGCAAGAGGCTGCAGCATAAATGGCAAAAACTGTTAATTTCTTAAATATTTTTATTAAGATCTGTGGGTTGCTCTTATGAAATGCTTTGGCATGCTTGCTTGCTGGAGGATGAGAAAGTGCTTATGGTGGGAATTCACTGAAGGCTGCCAGGATATCTTATCGTCTTGTGTGTATGTCTGACTCCATCTATCCACCATATGAAACTGGAACATAGCAAGGGAACTGGAGCAGAGAGGGCAGGAGTAGGTTCATGAACTCCCTGAGAGGATTTGTGGAAGAATAATTCTGGTCATGTTTTATCCCACCTCCCCTGCTGAAAAATGAATGTAAATAAATAACTGCTTGCAAAATACCCAGCTTTTTAGTTTGCATATGTTTGTTAACATATGAACATGTCACTAAGCTTGGACTGAAGCACAGGGGAAACTGTTGGAAGACAACGCAGCCCAATTCAGTTAAGAGGATGAAAACATTTTTGCTAATTTGGACTGAAGTAAGTTTTGCCACAGGGTGCCTGTATTCAGGCAATAAAGCAGTATCTTTAGTGCTCCTTCCTTGTTCAGAACTCTGTGGAAGTGGGTGGAAAAAGATCAGGGTATTATCGCAACTGCAGATGTAAACTGAGTTTTTGAAGGTTTTCCCAAAACCAGAAGGGAGGGAGAATCCACCCACCCCCAAACCAGCCCCTTTTCTCTTAAGAAAGTAACAAATAGAAACTGACAGAAATAGAAGGAAACAGATGTGTACTTAGTCCCTTTGGGGTTAGAGAGTTTTCTGAATGTTTGTGTAAAGCTTCTGTCAGTGCTTTGAGCTCTGTGCTATAGTCTAAAGGTAAGGGAACAAAAAAGGCTCTGAAAGTCCCTTCATAGTTAGGCAATGCCGGCAATCTTCTCATGTCTGTGGGCTTGGGTGTCGCGTTTTGAAAGGTGCTTCTCCTTCCTGGAGCCCTCTGAACTATCTACCATGTCCTAAACAGAAATCCTGACAGCAAATTATTTCTTCTTTTTATGATGTTTCAACCCTGTGCTGCTCTGGGCACCGAAATTTGTCTTGCTTTGTCCAGAGAATGGGATGATGTGGGTTGATTTAATA